GTAAACGTAGATTGGTTCCCCAAAACCCCAAAACCCCTGAGATTTAATTAGTAATATGCAAGAATTCACAAATAAATATTGACGAATTCCGATTAAATATATATATTAGTTTAAATCTGACCCATAAATATTTAAAGACCTATAATTATAAATAGGGGTAGTCGGAAGGGAAATTCATACCTTCTCGGCCTTTTGGCTAAGATCAAGTGTAGTATCTGTTCTTATCAGTGTGAAAACTGGTATCGTCTCCACGGAGGCGCTATTTTCACATCAATTTGTTCTGGTGAGGGTTTAGTTGGGAGGCTCGCTTTCCACTCCCTCAGAGTCGCCTCGGACTTGCACTATTTCCTTGAGCGGCTCACCCGTCTTCCAATAAAAATGAATCGTTTGATTAGTACTTGAAATTATTTAAGACTATATTTAATAAATGCTAATATACTTATTCCTTACGATTTCTTGGCTCACCTTAATGGATCCCTCATTTCTAATTTTGAAATCACTATTTTAATTTGAATTTATCGGAAATTAATGCTAATAAAACCGACTCTTAAAAAATACTCTTTATCATTATTTATTTTAATTGCTTCTTTAAATATAATAAACAGCTTGACAATAATGAATTAAGATAATTTATACCTGTAATAACAACAACATCTATAGTAGTTAACTACTGCCTAAGACTAAAAGGTAATAGAAGAAAGAAAGCAAATTAGTTCTAGATCGACTATTCTATCCACGCTTAAGAATGTTCCACAGGATCCTAGCAAGATGTCTAATCAAAATAATAGACTCAAGAGGCATTTTCAGACTTTTAATCAGACCACAAAGAATAGTGCAATCTAACCAGGTGATCCTTCATTCACAGTGTTTGAATCCTATGTTTTCAATGAGCCTTATCTAGGAAACCCAAAACAACTAAAGTTAGAATTAACAAGAGGTTCAATCAATCAGACGCTAAATTACCCATAGAAAAACCTTCCATTTGACAGAAGATAAAGCAGAGATATTGATACGATCTCAAATGCTCAGGTTTTACAATCAATAGAAGATGAAGTAAGATTTGAGGAAGATATATCAAATAAAATATTGTAATCATAAGCCAGGAATAAATCCTTTCATAATAAAACACGAAGCTACCTTGCTGATCCTTAAAATGTTAAACTTGTTGAAAAGGAATTCAATCGTCAAGTAATATCCCCTGATAACTTTAACAGACGAATATCTTAAGAAAGCTTGATTGTGGGTCCTAATTTCCCTCATATGTGCTAGACGGTCAGATTCAAGTAAATATTTAATAAGCAACTTGAATTCACAAAGAAAAGAGTTAAGTAACTAGAATCTTAATATTAAGGAACTTTAAAAAATACTAGGAGAATGAAAGAGACATTGAACGCATTATTTGGAGGAGTAACAACTCTGTAATCTCAGTAAGAAAAGTATGCGAATAATATGGAATTCATTCCTAAAGGCATGAAGTCTGAGGTGTTGACAAATGGAGGTAAACCTGAAAAATATCATGTATCCCCGATTGAAGGAAATTCTAGAAATAATTACAAGGTTTAGCATAATTAGAAAGTTGATAATCTCCTCTTATTTTAGAAAGTTAATGAAGATATCAAAAGGCAACAAGATTAGGAAATACTAAGGGTTAAATTCACCCAACTATTGAAAAAAATGCATCAGGTCCCACCTATTAATCTTGCTGCATAGACTTAGCTTGAAAATATGTTTATTAAAAGGAAACTATCCGACAAGAGAGAGATATCATAGAATAATCTTAAACTCATTAAGGAGTACGAATAATCAAATAGGCTTGGTCCTAGTTTTTGGTAGAACTACGAGTAAAATTTAAAGAAAGGCTCATTAAATAGTTAGAAAAGGTCTAGGAATGAGTCAGTCAACGACAATCATAAAACAATTTCACCTAATTATGAGAAAAATGAAGTCATTAGGAGAATATAAACTACACAAGATCCTAGTAAATAGTCTCATTATCAGCAAAACAGCATAACAAAAATTAAAAGCCATAGTTCAAATACAAAATAAAGTGACAGTAATAGAGAGAGCTTATATAGGTTGAGAAAAAATCAAATGTTTGAAAAAGGAGGAGAGATATTGAGGTAGTAACTTGATTAGAATTAAGAAAAGTATATGATATCGAAGCATTCAATTGAGAAGATTACTAAACAGAGAGTCAAGGAATAATAAAGAAAAATTAAGCTTTTAAGTGGTGGCACTCATGGAAACTTGGATGAAGATGATGATTCTGGTAGTTTCAACCAGTGGGGATAGTTATCGCTTAAAAAATTTGAGATGACGCTTATCTGAAAACGATAGTTTGACTTAATAATTTATACAACCAAAAATTAATTATAATTAAAGTGAAAATCCTAATTTCATTCCATTTAATTGACACTGTGCTATTAAGATTTCATTTCCTAAGATTATTTAAGTTCATATAGAGACTATTTTGTGAGTGCCTAACATTTTCCATTTCAGCTTTTAATTTCTGTTGTGCTCGAACTCTTTGCATATTTTTACAATAATTTAAGGGGTGTGGTTGATTGAGTACTCTCTGTAGATATCTCAAGTCATGCATACAATTGTCTACACCAGTGACAACAACTTAGTCATCAGACTCATAATCTTCATCCTAAGTCTATAATGTTTAATAAAATAAATTATGAAACTTACTGAATCGATGATTTTATCTTTGAAGAAATTCCAATTGGTAAAGCCAATTTGATCATCTGAAAAGATCATGAAATCTACAATTTGAGAAGTCCTTGAGCTTTCTAGTCTTATCAAATTTTGGACACTATCATCTTTCAAGGCTAAATAGAGATAAAAATGCTTATAAATTACATTGATGATTAGGATTAGTTCTGTTGAAGTACTGATAGCGAATTTATTTTTTTAATTCAATCTTATTCTAGTTTTGATTAGAGTAAGGAGCTATTCTCTTGCCCATCTATAAATTACTTAGATTCATGTTATCTATAAACCTTTAATAAAATTCCATTTTGTTCTTATTGTCATTCTTCACCCTTGCATCTTTTGATTCAATTCTATCTTCAAAGTCACTAAGCCTGTTCTTGGAGAATTCAACTTCTGATATTTCATCATCTGTTTCTGAAATCTCTTCAGGTTCCTACTGATTTGTTTATTTAGTGTCATTTTCATTTTCAGATACATTGTGAAGTTATACGAGATTGCTTTTTCTTATTTGGATTGAGTCTCTTGCCTGACTTAATTTATTATTCTACTCAGCTTCATCCGTGAAAACTTAAAGTGTTTGAATAGCGTTTTCTTTCAAATTCTAGGAATTCTCCTCCTTTATTTCATCCAAGTCGTAAATATTCTTTTACTTATTTTGAACTTAATATTACTTGCTATAATTTTGAGGCTAAGTTTCAGTAGTTTACTTCTGAAAGGTCTTGAATGCTGATGAGCTACTTGGTTTGAATATCTTTCTGTTCTAAAGTAAAGCTTATTGATGATAATCCTGGAGTTTTTCTCTTTTCTGCATGGGCAGGGAAGTTTATGAAGACTTGAAGATCTTCCTATCATGAAAATTACTCAAGGTCGATAATGCATCTTTAAAAATAGTTTGAGACTGGACACTTTGATTTAATGGTAATGGTTCATTGTGTCTATTGAAGATTTGTTAAAAATTGAAATTATTCTGATATTGATCTTTCTAGTCATTCTAAGAAAAAAGATTTGCTCTTTGTTATTCATTATTTTCTTATCTGGAATAGACTTAAAAATCTGATCCTTAAATCTACTATCTTTGAGAGTTAATGAACTTTTAATTATTATTAGGAGACCTAGTCTCATGCTACTTTTAATTTTTAATTTAAGCCTCTCCTCTGGGACTATTCTCAAATTTCATTTAATCTGACATTCGAATGCTAAATGCAGAGATATTATCCTTACCCTAATTTGGAGACCTTTGATTTCGATCTGATTCGAATGAAGTATTCAAATTAAACTGCCTTTTCTATTCTTAAAGTCTAGATTCTGGTAAAATACTAAGAATTCCACTAAATCTTGTGGAATTTGAAGCATCTGACATTGAATTTCCATTACTAAATGTGCTTTCTCTTTAAGGCTTCTTTTAAAAGGGAGTTTGAAAGAGCTAATTATCTGGGGATGTAGAGCTATCTCTTCGAATATTAAATTTCTGGGGAATTTCTAATGATACTGGAGGTTGATTTCTAATTTGTTCATCTTATAAATTGCTTTAAGCAAAGTCATCCTAGACAGGTGAAATTTAGCTGTTCTGTTGGTCGGAGCCTTCAAACTAAAAATTACTAAGCTTAAAAGTAACACCAGTTAAGATACTATCTTGCTCAGTATCAAGGTCATCATAGTTAGTCCTTTTCAAGGGGTTTTTAGTTCCAATTGTATTTTAGTCCAGTGTAAATGGATTATTGCTTTGAAAATTTTAGCTTTTTAGCGCATTCTTTTGGCTCATAAAATCTGCAAAATTAGAAGCTTTATGATCTTGATTTCTTTGATATAATGTAATATCCTAAAGTTTAGGTCTAGGTTTGATTGAGTCATTCTCTCTTCTATTAGCTTCAACAACTTTTGAATTGAAAGTTGGAATAATGCGTTTAAAATTGATTTGCTATTGAATTGATCTAGAGTTTAATTATTCAGACATTTTTGAGTTGCTGCTGTTTACTAATAGAGTTAGCCTATTAATTTAAATTTGAATAATTTTATTTAACAATAACTAACAAATCATAGATGCTTGGGGTTTTGGGGTTTTGGGGTTTTGGGG